CTTCTTTCACTGCAGCGTAAGATGTTGAGAGGTGACCTCATAAAGGTTTATAAAATCCTGAGGGTAATAGATAGGGCTAATGGTAGGCGTCTTTTCCCTGAGAAGGGAAATCTCAAGACTAGGGAGTATATTTTTAAAGTGAGAGGTGAGAGATTTAAAATTTTAAAAAGACATGAGAGATAATTTTTTTTTACACAGAGGGTGATTCGTGTGCGGAACAGACTTCTTGAGAAAGTGGTGGATGTGGGCACAGTTATAATGTTTAAGAGACACTTAGATAAGTACAGGAATAGGAAAGGCTTGGAAGGATATGGCCAGGAGCAGGGAGGTAGGAATAGTTTAGTTTGGGATTATGTTCGGCATGGACTGGTTGGACCGAAGCATCTGTGTCTGTGCTGTATGACTCTTATGGCTAAATTGCTATGACTTAGAGCATCTATACATTCCATTTTTAGCACAGAAACTCAAAAAGGTTATTCAACTGTGATTTTTAAAAAAAGGAAGTTTAGAGTTTATAGAATTTTTATTTTAAGAAGTTTACAAAATTGCCAGAAATAACAGTGATTCTGAGGTTTGGGAAGTTTTTAAGAACACAATAGAGGAAGACAAAGAAATCGCTAAGGAAAAGGAGAATAGAATTATGAATGCAATCGAGCAAAAAAAAGCCTATAAATGAACTATAAAACTTTCTGTAGCTACATATAAAGGAAATGTTCGGCTAAAATAAATATAGATCCATTAAAGACAGAGTCAGGGAAATTTATAATCAAGGATAGAGAAATGGCAAAGAAGATAAATAATTATTTTGCTTCTGTTTCATTGAGGAAGCAACTAGAGCTCTCTCAGAAGTAACGATCCAAGTGGCTAGGGAGAATGAAGAGTTGCAGGAAATTAGTGGTCATAAGAACCTAGAACACAGAACAGTACAGCACAGTACAGGCCCTTCGGCCCACGATGTTGTACTAAACTTTTACCCTAAACCCAAGGTCTATCTAACCTCCACCCCTACCTTATACTATCATCCATATGCCTATCTAATAGCTGCTTAAATGCCCCTAATGAGGCTGACCTTCTACCCTCTCCGGCAATGCATTCCACGCCCCTACCACTCTCTGAGTAAAGAACCTACCTCTGACATCTCCCCTATATCTACCTCCACTCACTTTAAAACTATGCCCCCTCGTAATAGCTACCTCCACCCTTGGAAAAAGTCTCTGGCTGTCCACTCTATCTATACTTCTGATCATTTTGTACGCCTCTATCAAGTCACCTCTCATACTTCGTCGTTCTAAAGAGAAAAACCCTAGCTGTCTCAACCTTTCCTCGTAAGACCTTCCCTCCATTCTAGGCAACATCCTGGTAAATCTCCTCTGCACCTTTTCCAACGCTTCCACATCTTTCCTGTAATGAGGCGACCAGAACTGGACACAATACTCCAGATGTGGCTGAACCAGGGTTTTGTATAGCTCGAGCATAACTTCACTGCTCTTGAACTCAATCCCTCTATTAATGAAAGCTAACGCACCATACACCTTCTTAACAACTCTATCCATCTGGGTAGCAGCTTTCAGGGAACTGTGGACATGAACCCCAAGATCCCTCTGCTCTTCCACACTGCCAAGAATCTTTCTGTTAACCCTGTATTCTGCTTTCAAGTTTGTCCTTCCAAAATGAATCATCTCATACTTTTCAGGGTTAAATTCCATCTGCCACTTCTCAGCCCAGCTCTGCATCCTATCAATGTCCCTTTGTAACCCAGAACAGCCCCCCGCACTACCCACAACTCGACCCATCTTCATATTGCTCATGAACTTCCTAATCTACCATTCCACTCCTACATCCAAATCATTAACAAAAATCACAAATAGAAGAGGACCCAGAACAGATCCTTGTGGTACACCACTTGTAACTGAGCACCATGTTGAATATTTTCCGTCCACTACCACCCTTTGTCTTCTAAGGGTCAGCCAATTCTGAATCTAATCTGCCACATTTCCCCCTGTCCCATGCCTCCTTACTTTCTGCATGAGCCTACCACGGGGAACTTTATCAAACGCCTTACTTAAATCCACGTATACCACATCCACTGCTCTAGCTTCATCCACATGTTTGGTCACCTCTTCAAAGAAATCAGTAAGGTTTGTGAGGCATGATCTACTCCTCACAAATCCATGCTGACTATCACGAATCAAACTGTGTCTATCCAAGTGATCATAAATCCTATCTTTCAGAGCTCTTTCCAATAATTTGCCCACCACTGAAGTAAGACTAACTGGCCTGTAATTTCCGGGGTTATCCCTATTCATTTTTTGAACAAGGGAATGACGTTTGCCACTCTCCAATCTTCCGGCACTATTCCCATGGACAGTGACGGCGAAAGGATCATCGCCAAAGGCCCTGCGATCTCTTCCTTGGCTTCCCATAAAATCCTTGGAAAAATCCCATCAGGCCCGGGGGACTTGTGTATCTTCAAGTTCCTCAAAATTCCTAGTACATCTTGCTTACTAACATCCACCTCCTCTAACCTACCAGCCTGTTTCACACTGTCCTCCCCTACAACTAGGTCCCTGTCAGTTGCGAATACCGAAGAAAAGTATTCATTAAGGACCTCTCTTATCTCTTTAGGCTCCGTGCACAAATTCCCTTTCCAATCCTTGATCGACCCTACCGTTCTCTGGTCATTCTCTTATTCTTCACATACATGTAAAAAGCCTTGGGGTTTTCCTTGAGCCTATCTGCCAAGGTTTTCTCATGCCCCCAATAGCTCCCTACGCCCTTTTCTCAGCTCCTTCCTGGCTTATCTGTATCCCTCTAGAGCCTTTTCCGATCCTTGTTTCCAAAACCTTATATAAGCATCCTTCTTCCTCTTAACTAGTCGTTCGACCTCTCTCGAGAACCAAAGCTCCCTTGCTCAACCGCATCTTCCCTGCCTGCTAGGGACAAACATATCGAGCACATGAAGTATGCATTCCTTAAACAATCTCCACATTTCTATAGTGCTCTTCCCTGACAGCGTCTGTTCCCATTTTACGTTACCCAGTTCTTGCCTAACAGAATTATAATTACCCTTCCCCCAATTATAAACCGTACACTGCTGTATGTACCTATCCTTTTCCATGACTATTGTAAAATTAACAGAGTTATGATCGCTACTGCCAAAATGCTCTCCTACCAACAGGTCTAACACTTGGTCTAGTTCATTGCCAAGCACCAAATCCAAAGTGGCCTCTCCTCGTGTTGGTCTATCTACATACTGTATCAGGAATACTTCCTGAATGCAATGGACAAAATCCGCTCCATCTAAACTATTACAACTAAAAAGTTTCCAGTCAAGATTTGGAAGGTTGAAGTCATCCATGACTACTGTGACTTCTGCATCTTTCTAGTATCTGCCTCCCAATCCGCTCCTCCACTTTTCTGCAACTATTAGGGGGTCTGTAAAAAGCCCCCAACAAAGTGACTGCTCCTTTCTTGTTCCTGACCTCAACCCAAACTGACTCAGTAGACATATCATTCTCGAACTGCCTTTCAGTAGCTGCTATACTAGCCCTGACTAGCAATGCCACTCTGCTGCCTCTTTTACCTCCCTCCCTGTTTCTTTTAAAGCATCTAAATCCTGGAACTTCCAACAACCATTCCTGTCTCTGAGTTACCCAAGTTTCTGTAATGGCCACAACATCGTAGTTCCAAGTACTGACCCATGCTCTAAGTTCATCCGCCTTATTTCTGATACTTCTAGCGTTGAAGTATACACACTTCAAACTATCCCTGTGTCCACAATTACGCTCCATCGATCACATTTCTTTATTAACAACCTCACTCCCTGCTGTGTCTGTTGGAAGGCTGAATACCTCATCCTCTGAATTACAAATCCGGTTCCCCACCCCCTGCCAAGCTAGTTTAAACCATCCCATATAGCTCAAGCAAACCTCTCTCCCAGGATATTTGTGCCCCTCCGGTTCAGGTGCAACCCGTCCTTCCTGTACAGGTCCCACCTTCCCCAGAATGTGCTCCAATTATCCACATAATGGAAGCCCTCTCTCCTACACCAGCCCTGTAGCCACGTGTTTAGCTGTACTCTCTCCGTATTTCTTACCTCGTTATCACGTGGCACTGGTAGTAATCCAGTGATAACTACCCTGTTTGTCCTGGACTTCAGCTTCCAACCTAAGTTCCTGCACTCATTTTTCACATTCTCAGTCCTTTTTCTACCTATGTCATTGTCACCGATGTCTACCGTGACTGTTGGTTGCTCACACTTCCCCTTAAGGATCTTGAAGGCACGATCCAAGACGTCACGGACCCTGGCACTTGGGAGGCAACATACCATCCGTCCGTCTTGTTCACTTTCACAGAACCGCCTGTCTGTGCCTCTAACTATTGAATCCCCCACTACAATTGCTCTCCTATTCTCCCCCCTTCCCTTCTGAGTCACAGAGCCAGACCCTGTACTAGAGACCTTGTCCCTGTGGCTTACCCCTGGTAAGTCGTCCCCCTCCAACAGCGTCCAAAACAGTATACTTATTGTTGAGGGGAACGACCACAGGGGATGCCTGCACTGACTGTTTCTTTCCCTTCCCTTTCCTTACTGTCACCCAACTGCCTTCGTTCTTAGGGGTAACTATGGCCCTGTAGCTCGTTTCTATCACCACCTCTGCCTCCCGAATGATCCTGTTGTCCATCCAGCTCCCAGCTCTGGTTCCCTAACGCGGTCATTGAGGAGCTGGAGCTGGAGCTGGGTGCACTTCCCACAGAGTCACTGCTGTTGACTGTTACCTCCCACATCCTGCACTGCCCTGACTGCCATCCCCTCTCAATTTAAACTTCCTCAAAAGATTAGTAAAAAGTAGAGATTAACTTACTTACCCTTTTATTCTTAGGTTAGAGGAGGTGGAAGGGTGGGAGACACCACTCTTGTGCTCTCACTCCCGGTCTCCTCCTCCTCCTCCGCCGCCAAAAATGAAGGCCCCGAAGCACTAACTGTAAGTTATTATACTCACCGCGTACCTTTCCAGCAGTCCCCTCGCACTCTCTCCTGGCTCAGAGGAAATCGTTGTGCTTATGGACGCTCCAGACAGTCTTTTTTTTGGTTAGAGGAGGAGGGTGGGGTGGGAGTCACTACACATGTAGTGTTTAGGGTTTAGCCACTGCCAGAATATATGATTTTACCTTCCCAGCAATCCCCTCGCGCTGTCTCCCGACTCCTGCCGCTGAACAAATGGAGGCCGCAGACTCACGAGGTCAGTCTTTTAAAATGAAAAGCTCACCTTCCTAGCAATCCCCTTGCGCTCTCTCCCGACTCCCGCTGCTGAACAAATGGACCATAAGAACATTTTACTGGAGAAATTAATGGTGCTTAGAATTGATAAATACCCAGGACCTGACAACTACATCCCAGAGTGTTGAAGGAAGTGGTTATAGGGACAGTTGATACATTGGGATTATCTTCCAAAATTCCATAGATTCTTGAATGATTCCTGTGGGTTGAAAGGTAGCAAATATGACCCCACTGTTTAAGAAGGAAACAAGAGAGAACACTGGCAGCTACATACATGTTAGCACAACTTCATAGGAAAAATGTTAGAATCTATTACAAAAGATGTGATAAACAGACACTTGGATAACAATGATCTGATTGGGCATAGTCAGCATGGATTTGTGAATGGGAAATCATGTAAATGAACTTGTTGAAGTTTTCTGAAGAATGTTTATTGAAGTTAACAAAATTGATAAAGGAAGGCCTTTGGAAATTGTAAATTTAGATTTTCAGTTCCCTTTTGATAAAATTTCACACATGAGGCTGGTTAAAAAGTTCAAACACATAGGAGGCATGAATTAATGGTTAGCTCACTGACAGAAAATAAAGAATAGGAATAAATGGGTCACCCTCATTTTGGCAGGCTGTGACTAGAAGGGTATCATTATGATCAATACTTGAACCCCAGTTGTTCAGAATATAGATCAAAGATGGGGAACCAAATGTAATGTTTCCATATTTGCAGATGACACAAAGCTAAGTGAGAATGTGTGTTGTATGGAAGATGTAAAGCTGCTTCAGGAAGATTTGGACAGTGAATGGGCAAGAAAATGGCAAACTGAATATAGCATGGAACATTATGATGTTATCCACTGTGTTAGATGGAATAATTCTGTAGGTGTTTCTTAAATGGTGTCTCTACATCCCAAGGACTGGAGGGTTCAAGAAGACAGCTCACCATCACCTTCTCCGGGCAATTAGATCTATGATTGTTGTTCTACAGTTCTGTTTTAGATTCTTTACTTACAACATAAAGTAATTGATTTAATTCATATCATAACCTAATTCAAAGTATGAGATTCTGTCTTTTGAGTATAAATACAGATGCTGTCAGTAATAAAGCATCTTTTGCTTTCAAAATAGTGATTAATTATTTTCCAATGATAATTTTTGGAAACTATACACAAATTATTTAATTTTACCAAAGTTGACCTTTTCTTTAGGATGGGAATATAGCTTCATAAAATAGCTGATTGATGTGTGTTGTCAGATAAATGCACTACAGGAGATAATGGAAGGTGCGCTTTCAGATGACTTTATTGCATTCACCCACTGCAAACACAATTCTTTTCTTTCTGCTAGAGCTCTCAGCATGGTGGATCCTCAATATCTTTGGCATCAACCAAAGTTTGCAGCTCCATGGATGAGAATGAAGGCCCCAGCTGTGAAGGTAAGGATCAAACCAGTAAAACAACATTGTTTTAACATTTCTGAAGAACGGTCTAGGCCCGAAACATCAGCCTTCCTGCTCCTCTGATGCTGCTTGGCCTGCTGTGTTCATCCAGCTCTACATCTTGTTATCTCTTGTTTTAACAAGTGCTGTTTTGATGTTGCTACATCTGCAGAGCTTCTTATTTCTCAATAATGCAAATTAATTGTCATCTTTGAACCTTGCAGTTCAGTCAGAGGGGAAACTGCATCAGAGGAAGATGAAAGAATGGGAGGTGGCAATGTTGACTTGATGTTGGGAAATCTAGAGTTGGGTTGAGGTGGGGATGAGGAAGATCGGATTCTGGAGCCAGTGAAGATCTTGGAGTGATATGAAGAGTCATGAGGGAGATTGGAGGCTTTGGCAAACATTTGGGTGACTTGAGGAGTAGATCTGCAGGGTCAGGTGGGGTTGCCCAGTCATAGGTAAAGCACATATATTGAATTAAACAGGTGAGTGGGGGAAGGCACTACCTTCTGATCCAGCAGTTTCTGCTTCCCCAAACCATCAGGTCTCCAGAAGCTTGGAAAACTTGACTTATAAATTGGTGGTTGTTTATAAGACACTGCCTCATCATAATATTTAAATTGCTTACCTACTCCCTGCAAGTGAGATTGTTAGTAATTGAGGAGTTTATAGGCTATTCAGCTCATTGAGTCTGTTCGGTCATTCTTTTTAATCATTCATGGGATGGCCTGGCCAGCGTTTATTGCCCATCCCTAATTGCCCAGAGGGCAGTTAAGAGTTAACCACTTTGCTCTGGGTCTAGCGTCACATGTACGCCAGACCAGTTAAGGATGGCAGTTTCTTGCCCTGAAGAGTAGAAGTGAATCAAATGGGGTATTCCATAAATCAATAATGGATTCGTAGTCATCATTAGATTCTTAATTCCAGACTTTTATTGAATTCAAATTCCACCATCTGCCATGGCGAGATTTGAATCTCGGTCCCCAGAACATTACTTTGGTCTCTGGATTAACAGACCAGCATTAATATCACTCAACCATTGCCTTCGCAATAAGATTGTGGCTGATCTGATGTGGCCTAAACTCCACTTTCCCACTTTTACACCCCCCGATATAAGTCTTGACTACGTTACTGATCAAAAATCTAACTCTGTCTTGAATATATTCAGTGGTGCTTCCTCCACTGCTTTATGGAAGAGAATTCCAATAATTGATAATCTTCTGAGTGAAAAAATCCTTCCATCTCTCGAATGGAATACCCCTTATTTTTAAACTGAATCTCCTAGTTCTAGATTGCACTATGAGGGAAACAGCATCTATCCTTCAAGACCTCTCAGAATTCAATTTTTAAATTCTTCTAGTTCTTCTCAACTTCAAAGAATATAGGCCCAACCCACTCAACCTTTCCTCACAAGACAATGCCTTCATCTCATTAATCAACATCATGAATATTCTTTGAATGCAAGTATACATCTCCTTAAGTAAGCAGATCAAGGCTGCACACAGTATTCTGGGTTGGTCTCACCAATGCACATTATAGTTGTAGTAAGACTTAACTACCTTTATACCACATCTATGTCATAATAAATGCCAAAATTCCATTTGTCTTCCTAATTGCTTGCTGTACCTACATGCTAACTTTTTGTGATTTATTTACAACACCTTCCATCTCAGCTTTCTGCAATATTTCTCCATTAAAGTAATATTCCATTTTCAATACTTCCTGCCAAAGTGAACGACCTCACATTTTCCTGTATCTACCAAATTTTTGCATGCATTTTTTATCTATATCCCCAGGCAGACTCATTGTTTCCTCTCCACAACTTACTGTCCTTATCTATCTTTGCAATATCAGTAAATCTGGCTACAATATGTCAGGCCCATTCATCAAATTATTTGCATAGATCATAAATAGTTGAGGCCCTGGGATTGATCCCTGCAGCAATACACATTGTAGTTTGGCAACCTAAAATTGAACCTTTTGTTCCCAACTGTGTTTTGTCTCCAACGTCTGCATTTTACTTTTATTCCTACTTTGGCTTGGCCTGATTGTATTCATTTTTTTAAAAGTCCCCTCCTGCCAGTTCCTATTACTCAATTCCAGCATCTTCCCAATTACAAATGTTTGGTTAACTGGTCTTAGTGCTCATGGCACAGGTGGTCTTTCTTGTGAAAATTCCTACATGCAGTTTTTGCTACTCATGGTGTTTCTCTATTTATATCTTGTAGATATCTTTTCCTGATTTACAATTGCTACAGTTTTATACTGTATGGTGTTGTAATAACTTTGCAATTCAAATGAATCAGGTAGAATGATTTATTTGCACAATGTATTTTTTAGAATGAATGTGCATCTCTATAACAGAGACACTAGCATTTTATCGAAAGTAAATACTACTCACCTAAAACTGAACATTTTACATTTTAGAGATAGTAGGAGCTGCAGATGCTGGAGAATCCGAGACAACAAGGTGCAGAGCTGGATGAACACAGCAGGCCAAGCAGCATCATAGGAGCAGAAAGGCTGACGTTTCGGGCCTAGACCCTTCATCTTTTCTGATGAAGGGTCTAGGCCTGAAACGTCTGCATTTTACATTTTAAACCACTTTAGCTTAGAAATTATTGTTGTTGATATTAGTGGGTCAGCGGAACATATGACATTCCTCTGGTAATTATTCTATCAAACGCATTAACCCTATTAACATAAACCTACAATAAAAAAGAAGGTACTGAGTATTTCCCACAAATATAACCAATATTAATTTATCTTTACATAAAGACTTAGCTTTTGTGATGTGGTCTTAACTTTAACTAATATTCATTCTTGCAGAAGTTGTCGAGGAAACGTTCCAAGTGCCAGCATCCATAGCTGAACGTTACAAAGTTGGAAGAACTATCGGTGATGGAAATTTTGCAATTGTGAAAGAATGTATAGAAAGGTTTGTATGTAAAAATGTTCAAGTAGTCATTAGTTGTTTGAGCAGAAATATTAAGAGGGTATTTTCCAGAACATTGCACTTGGGATATAAAGCACTGGAGGAATCAAATAACATTAGATCTCCGCTCTTTGTAGGTATGTCTAAATATACTTAGTAAAATACAGTGAGGCATTTTTAGCCTTCTATGTGAGAACCTTCTTCATTCATCAGATAGATGCCCCATGGTAGGGGATCCTGAAGGTAGTTGATGTAGAGACCCGCCTTTGGCCACATGACCTGGATGGTCTGCCTGAGAGCATGAGTGGTGCACCCAGCTCACAGACCTATCAGGTGAGGAACACGTTTTAGGTTCTGTCTCCCTCTTCCCTACAGGTGAATTGAAAAATGTGGCTATTCCGGCAATGGTCAGAATATGTAATCTTAGAGCTATGTGTACATCTGAAGTTGATTGGCAGTTTTCTCCCTGATGCTGGTACACAAAGCACATCCTGGAGAAATACCTGTGAATAGAATGGGCTATGCAAGTAACAAGGATAGGGAAAATACAGGCAGCTTCTGTCTCACAGACACTGTGCATCCACATGGTAAAACTTCCATTCAGTTTTAACTCAAATAGTATTGTAATGGATATATCATGACTTTGAATACATGTGTACATACTTATCGAATACTTGTACCATCTGAAGATTAGGGTCAGAGAGATCTACACCACAGAAAAAGGCCCTTTGCCCACTAAGTCCATGTCAGTCAATAGCAATTAACTATTCTATATAAATGTTATTAATCTAACAGCTATTAATTTAAAGAAAGTGTATAACAAATTAAAATAACTTCTCCAATTGATGTTTGTGCTATGGTGTCATTTTTAATGATGTTTTCTTTCTTTAGGTCAACTAGTAGAGAATATGCTTTGAAAATTATTAATAAAAGCAAGTGTAGAGGCAAAGTGAGTACTGGAAGAATTATTTTATTCAAATGCTGGTAAAAGCTAGAATTATAAATCTCTGGAACATTTTACGGTGTTTTATATAAGGGACACTCACTGGGTCAGTTAGGCTTATGATTTGAATCTCAGCATTGATTAGTCTATATTTATGCATGTCCTTGATAGATAAATAATAATGTTTCTAGTAGTGAGGCAGGAGACTATTCCATCTTAGAATGAAGCAAGACGTGTCAAAATACAAGTACTGCACAAATAATATGGCTTCTGCTGTCTACTCTGAGAAAATGTTGTTGGCTACAGTACTCTTCCAGCTGAAAGTTTAAAAAAAATGGGAAAGAAGCACTTGGTAACAAAAACTTTAAAGAAGTAAATATAATGATAAAATAATACCTTTCAATTATGTGTAGATAGTAGAAAAAATCTATCAGGAAGTAAGACTGTACTTATTGTGTATCAAATAGGTAAATTCCGAACTAGTAATCTGAACAAGAGAAAATAACTCAGAAATAAGAAATTGCCGACAAGGGTGCTGCTGTTGTTGTCTGGTGGACTGACCTCTACATTGTGGAGGTTGAGCGTAGGGTCTCAGTCACCTCTTCCTATCTCCCCTTTGGACCATGAACCCACCATTGAACGTCAAGCTCTTGTTTTCATGACTATCACTTACTTCATCTCATCTGGAGTTCTCTGAGGGCCATACAGCCCTCTCCTACCTTCTTTCCAAAATCCATAAACAGGACTGCCCAAGCTGACCCATTGTTTTGTCCTGTTTCCGTCCCATGGAACCTATTACTTCCTGCTCATGATTTTCTTTCCCATCGTCCAGTAGCTTCGCACTTACATCCACAGTTTGTTTGATGCTTTACGTTGGCTTCAAAATTTCCAGTTTGGCAGCACCAGCCACCTCAGTTCCGCCATGGATGCGTAGTCCCCCCTACATGTACATCCTCCATCAAGACAGTCCGAAGGCTCTCCGTTTCTTTCTTGAGAGATGCCCTGAACCATCCCTATCCACCACCATCGTCCTCCGCCTGGCAGAGCTCGTCCTCACTTTGAACAACTTTGTCTTTAATTCCTCTCATTTCCTTGGCCATGCGGCCCATGGGTCTCTGTAAACACCTGTCTCTTTGTGGGCTGCGTGAAACAATCCTTGTTCCAGTCTTACTCCGGTTCCTTCCCACAACTCTTTCTCCAGTACATCGATAACTTTGACTGCACAGCCTCACATTCTGCTTCCTGCAGGGACTCCATTCCATTCTCCCTGTCTCTTTGTCTCCATCATAATTTTTCTGATAATACCAGCTTCCACAGGAGGCCTCAAAAATGTCCCCTTTCTCCTCCACTGAAGATTTCTCGCTATCATGGTTGTCAGCAGCCGGACTTCTGCCCTCACCCTTTCCCACTCCTTCCCTGGTCCTCACTTTCCACACCATGAGCATCCATATTAAAAGGATCATAAGCCTCCATTTCGGCCATCTCCAGAGGGATGCCACCATCAGACATATATTGCCTTCCCTACCTTGTCAGCATTTTGCAGGGACTATTCCCTTAGGGATACCTTTGTCCACTCCTCCTCCACTCCCGACACCTCCCCACCTTCCCATACAATTTGCAGAAGGTGCAACGCTTCCCTTTTTACCTCCTCCCTCGTCATTGTTCAAAGCCCCAGACAAACCTTCCTGGTGAAACAGCAATTTACCTGCACTTCATTCAATTTAGTCTACTGTTTTCACTACTCGCAATATCGTCTCCTGTACTTTGGAGAGATAAAATGCAGACTGGGTGTCCGCTTTGTAGAACACCTACACTCTGTATGTAAAAACAACCCAGAGTTTCTAGTTGCTTGCCATATCACCATTCCACCATGTTCCCACACCAACATTTCTGTCTCAGGCCTGCTGCAGTGCTCCAGTGAGGCTCAGAGGAACAATACCTCACCTTCCACTTAGTTACCTTACAGTCTTTCAACATTGAGTTTAGCAATTTCAGAATGTGTACACCTTCCTCTATATTTGTTATGCTTCCCTCCCACCCCTAAGCGCTGTCTTATGTTGGGTGTTCCAGCACAGCCAACCATTTTAAACCATTTACATTTCTTGTTAGCATTCTACCTAGCATTTCTCCCTCACTCAGCCTATCATCAGCAATCTCTTTGTTTGCCAATCCTTTCTCTCGCTCTCTCTCTCATTTTCTCTCCCTCTCTCTCTCTTTCACTCTCAGCCCCATTTCCACCCTTTCCCAGCTATTTTCAGTTCTGACCAAGGATCACTGGACTCAAAACTTTAACTCTGTTTTTCTCTCTACAGATGCTGCCAGATCTGTTGAGTTTCTCCAGCACTGTTTTTGTTTAAAAAGTTAAGATGTTCCAGACTACCACAACTTCTGCACTTTATTGTCAGCAATGCCAATTCTACATCATGCAAATCCTAAATCCCTGACCTTTCTTCATATTCCCTCTATTTTAAACGTCAAAGAAATCATTTGTGAATCTTAACACATTTGGTATTAATCTAAATTTATTGTTGTGGTTGGTAAGTATTTGCAGCCCAGTTATTTTTCTGGACTTCTGCAGAATTATAGAATTTCTACAGTGTGGAAACAGGCCATTTGGCCCATCAAGTTCACACTGACCCTCTGAAGAGCATCTCACCCAGACCCACACCTCACTCTATCCCTGTAACCCTGCATTTCCCATGGCTAATCCACCTAGCCTGAGCATCCCTGGACACTATGAGCAATTTAGCATGGCCAGTCCACCTAACCTGCACATCTTTGGACTGTAGGAGGAAACTGGAGCACCTGGAGCAAACCCATGCAGACACGGGGAGAATGTGCCAACTCCACACAGACAGTCACCTAAGGGTTGAATTGAACCCAGGTCCCTGGTGCTGTGAAGCAGCAACGCTAACCACTGTGCCACCCCCAGAAGCCAATAAATTTTCTCTAAGGTGGAAGCTTCAGCAAACAAAATGGCAACTAGGTTTGTACAACTACTGTACAACAGTGGATAATATATATTTGCCTTTACGTTGCTGTGTATGATACGAGGTAATTTACAGCATCTAAGCATTATTTTTGATTGCTTTGGTTTTGTCAGGAAAAGCATGTCAACCTTGAAAATATTGGACTAAGAAACTGCTTCTTGTGCCTCTGACAGGAGCATATGATTCAAAATGAAGTTTCCATCTTACGAAGAGTTAAACATCCAAATATTGTTCTTTTAATTGAAGAAATGGATACACCAAGTGAACTTTATCTAGTCATGGAACTTGTCAAGGTAAGAATACTTTGTTGAGACATGAGTCACAGAATGAAATAAGTCCTTAAGAATAATTCTTGTTAAGTTCTGTTCTCCAGTTGTATTGTATGGACTTACAACCTCAGATGAATAAGGCATTTTCATGCTTAAAACAAGAAATCTTTATTAACTCTTCACTGCAAAGAAACTGTGATTTATTGATTTGTTCATTGATTGAGAAAATATTCTGTTTTAATTGCATTTAATTCTTTTTTTTGTAAAGGATCTCAAATTAATTAAACATCTTAAATATATAAGAATGCAATATTATTCCTAAGAATTTGAAAGCAGTAGAAATAACTTCTTTGTCTATTCTGTTTGATAGGGAATGTACATGACAAATATTCATGAGTGCTATTTCTCTTCAGGGTGGAGATCTTTTTGATGCCATTACTTCCACCAATAAGTACACAGAGCGTGATGCCAGTGGAATGCTGTACAATTTGGCCAGTGCTATCAAATACCTGCATAGCCTTAACATCGTACACAGGGACATCAAACCAGAGAATCTACTGGTAAGTTATAATGTAAAAACAGTGCAGTTAGTTAATTACTTATCATGACAACGCGACAACTATAATACAGCACCCTGAAATAATATGAGAAAGAACAACCAGTTAAAAGGGGAATGAGTGGCTTGTTTGTTAAAGATCTGAGGAATTATCCATCATTATTGGTAAGTCATGAATTGTCAGTTGTATTAATAATTATATTAGAAATAAAAACAAAGGAAATCCCTCTTTCTGCCAGGCTCATACTTTTAACCTGGCCTGGCTTATAAGTGACCTCAGTGCTACAAGTGCATTGGTTAAATGTTAACTTCTGTTCAAGTTACTCAAAAAGACGCACCACCACCTTCTCCAGCAACTAGAGATGGGAAATGAATATCAACACCCATAATCTAAGAATGTATATAAAAATAAGCTTTGTCTGCCCTCGTCAGTGGATATAGCAGTCATGTATCATTTGACAAAATATGGGCAAGTTCTGAGGGACAAACTTTTCATGGTTCTTTTAGAACCAAATGAAGGTGGCACCAGAAAATATGCCACTGATCTAGGACTCCCAACTCCATTTTCACCCCAAGATATTTTCGCAAGGGCAGGGGTGGGAAGCAGGCACCAAAACTCATCTCCTATTAAATGATGGCATTGTGGACTTAAGAGTGAAGTATAGTTTTCATGGAGGCAGCCCAGATTTCAGCAGCTGTCACATTTTACCTGGTGAACATCACTTCCACAAAACATTGAGGATGATGTGGGCATAGAATTTACTCTTGATGGGACACTTTAATGTTCACAGTAGTGGTTTGGCAGCACCACTACTGATCAAGTTGGCTGAGTCCTCAGGGATGGAATCGCAGCCTATGAAGGAGTGTCTGTGGCAACTGGTGAGGGAATGTTTGGGAATGAGGTGACTGCAACGGATAGATCAGATCAAAGCATGGTAGTCTGCTCCAAAAGGCCTTCGACAAGGTGCCGCACAAGAGGCTACTGCATAAGATAAGGATGCATGGCATTAAGGGTAAAGTATTAGCATGGATAGAGGATTGGTTGACTAACAGGAAGCAAAGAGTGGGGATAAATGAGTGCTATTCTAGCTGGCAGTCAGTGACTAGTGGTGTGCCTCAGGGATCGGTGTTGGGACCGCAATTATTTACAATTTATATAGATGATTTGGAGTTGGGGACCACGTGTAGGGTGTCAAAGTTTGCAGATGACACTAAGATGAGTGGCAGAGCAAAGTGTGCAGAGGACTGTGAAACTTTGCAGAGGAACATAGATACATTGAGTGAGTGGGCAAAGGTCTGGCAGATGGAATACAATGTAAATAAATGTGAAGTCATACATTTTGGTAGGAGTAGTAGTAAAAAGGATTATTACTTGAATGGTAAGAAGTTGCAGCATGCTGCTATGCAGAGGGACCTGGGTGTCCTTGTGCATGAATCACAGAAGGTAGGTCTGCAGGTACAACAAGTAATTAGGAAGGCAAATGGAATTTTGTCCTTCATTGCTAAAGGGATTGAGATTAAAAGCAGAGAGTTTATGTTGCAGCTGTACAAGGTGCTGGTGAGGCCACACCTGGAGTACTGTGTGCAGTTTTGGTCACCTTACTTGAGAAAGGACGTACTGGCACTGGAGGGGGTGCAAAGGAGGTTCACTAGGTTGATTCCGGAGTTGAGGGGGTTGGCTTATGAGGAGAGACTGAGTAGATTGGGATTATATTCATTGGAATTCAGAAGATTGAGGGGGGATCTTATAGAAACATATAAAATTATGAAGGGAATAGATAAGATAGAAGTAGAGAGGATGTTTCCACTGGCACATGAAGCTAGGACAAGAGGGCATAGCCTCAAGATTAGAGGGAACAGATTTAGGACTGAATTGCGAAGGAACTTCTTCACCCAGAGGATTGTTAATCTATGGAATTCCTTGCCCAGTGAAGTAGTTGACGCTACTTCAGTAAACGTTTTTTAAAAAAAGGTAGATTTTTTTTGAACAATGAAGGAATTAAGGGATACGGGGAGAACACGGGTAAGTGGATCTGAGTCCACGAAAAGATCAGCCATGATCTTATTGAATGGCGGAGCAGGCTTGAAGGGCCAGACGACCTACTCCTGCTCCTAGTTCTTATGTTCTTATACAAGATTGAATGGTGGTGGTCAATGAAACAATTGATTAGAGGTGGAGGTTTGACAGATATTCCATCCTCAGCAATGGAGAAGCCCCGCTCATCATGGCAGAAGTTAAATCTAAAGCATTTGCAAGCATTTACAGCCAAAAGTGCTGAGTGGCTGATCATCTCAACAACAAGTTCTGCACATGTTAATGGGTGTCAGCGCACCAATCACAACATTGACTTACAGTTCCAGAAGTCACTGCTGTGTGTAGACCTTGGGGGGCAATGTAACTGGAAAGAAAATGAGAGGGAAAGCTGCATCTTGGTCTACAATCAATTTCATTAATTCAATTGGTAACAAGAAATGGCTGAAAGCATTGGTTATTGCAAAGGCTTTGGACTTTGACAACATTCTGGCAATAATACCAAAGACTTGTGCTTTGGAACTACCCTCAGCCCTAAACAAGCTGTTCCAGCACAAATACCGCATGGTCATCTACCAGCGGAAAATTGTTCAGCTATGTTCTCTCCTCAAAATCAATGAAGCTAACCTGGAGGTGACAAAATACTATTTCCTTCATCATTTCTATATCCATTAACAGTATGACAATCTAGAAACCTCATGGTCACTTTATCTCTGGATTTGCGACAAGTTTGAAATTGGTATTCGCACAAGGTTCAATCAGGAGCCTTGACAGTAATCCATCTTAGTTACTGATTTCCTGAAGATTTACAATTCCAAATAATTTATACCATACCAAATGCTTTGAAGATTATATTTACTATTCTGTAGCACTTCATATCCAGCTGCAGCAACAATCTTTGTTCTCAATACTATCACCTTTCTTTCAAGTACTTGGTGCCTTGCGTGTCATTAGGTATATATTTGCTATGGAATTCACTTGACATTTTCTAAAATATGTTCAAGGCTTTTCTCTCCACAGGAAGTGTTGTGTAGTACTATGTAAAAGTTTAATTAGTTGAGAAATATTAATGATTAGAGAAAATAGGAACATTAATGTACTAATGAAGCAAATAGTTCCAAGGCTTGGATATGGATTACCACAATGTAATATGCTAATTACAGACATAGGCCTGGGTCTATAGAATGGAGATTTGATACGTAATGAATTGCATAAAGAATAACATAATTTCAACAAAAAGCCATGTTCATTTTTGTTATTACTTAGAGTAAAGTATGGTAACTACTATATGAAGCAGTTTGTCAGCTTAAGCAAAGCTTCTGACGAACATGTCAACATCAGAACTATAAATACATAGACTAGACTACTCCTATGTAAACCAAAACGTTAAAAAGTATATGACATGCTTTCACCTAATTGACTCAAACAAAAACAGCAAAAAATCACAACTGACTATATAACAAAACTTGGGAAGGAAGGAAGTATTATATAATATAATGCAATATGAAGAGCATTAACTAACATAATGCTGGAAAACGTAGCAGCCAATTTAAACACGGTGTGATTGTCCAAGCAACATTAGTGCACTGATCAGATAATGGCCTGGATATTACTTGGATTGACAATTACAGTCAGATTGACGCTCTGTGTCTATTTCTTTCTGTTAGCGCTGAACTCCACATTTCTAACTAGCAATTCTGATGCTGTCTCCTTCAAAAATGCCAAGCTTACTTGAAATCAAATAGCTCCCCTCGGATTGGAGGAGATGAGGCTGCACCTCCTTTTACAGCAATCAATGAGCCGCATCCTGAGGTTTAAATATTCAACAGTGTGGCTAGCCCCTTTGACAATGACTGTGAAAGGCCATGTATGTAATTGTTAGTTTAAGTTGGCACTAGTTAGGGTGTCAGGGTGCCAGGTGGTGAGGTGTAGTTGTGTAGATGAATGGTGTGCTGGGTGAAGGGGGTTGGTCAGTTTACTAGTTACCCAGGAGTTAGACTGGATTTTTTTTATCATCTTAACCTTTCCTGGGTAACTTAACTGAAGCGTGACCCTCCAAAGTATCTGACTTTAGAATAGAATACAAATGTATTGTCATGTGTACATTTACATGAAAAGTACAGTGAAAGGTTTTATAAGCTGTCCCACCACAGAGCCTACTTCAATGACACAAGTCATACATAATAATTTAAAAAAAGTAAAATGAAGACAACGTTCATCACAGTTCATTTAGCAGCTCCTGGGCTTGAGGAAAGCTGATGAAGGAATGATAGAATACCCTAAAGATGCAACTGGGACAAGACCACCATTCTGGGAAAAGACTACCACACCAGGCTACCAGAATGCTGGCTGGAAGCCTCTGCCAAAAGAGACTGCTAATATGCCCTGAGACTGCCACTCCTGAACAAAACTGCCTGCAAGGCCACTGGAATACCTGGAAGATGACTTTATTTGTTTTTTCAGAGCTCTCCAGACAGAGAGGAATTTCCCATCAGAATATTCAGTTTGCCAGGCAATTTCCAGAGTTGTGCATCTGGGATTCCATATGGTCCTGATGCACAATTCTAGTCTGTGTTATTCCAATGACTATCTGCCCACCGGAATATCTGAGTCAGTGTGCTTTAGAGATGCATATTGGTCAAGATATTAGAAGAATGATCCAGCTGTTCTAAAGGCATTTCTAACAGTGCAGCACTCCTTTTATCCTGCAGTGATGCATTATTCTTGATTTTATGCTTGAGTCTTTGATATGATGCCTGAGTGCATAAATTTCTAAGCTCGATGAGAGAATATATAGACTACTGAGCCAAGACTGACACTCCAGCAAGTTAGATATGATAATTGCTAATAATTATCAGAGATATTAAAACTACCAATGCAAAACCAGTAAATAGCAAACAGGGACCAATTAGCATTGAGAAAAAAATAAACTAATGAGCTTTTAAAAAATCTTTGGACTCCTGACTTATTTT